CCACGGGCCAATCAGCTGCCAGCCGGCGGGCGCGGGGAAGTGACGTACATCCCAGCGCGCCGCCGTGCTCCGCCGTCGCGCCCTGCCCCCTGCACCTACTTCTGTGACTCAGTAGGTCTGTGGCAGGGGCTCTGTGCCGCCAGGTCCGAGCTACCAGGGGCCTGGGTCCGGGGCTCGCCAGCTCCGCCGCGTGGGTGGCTGCGCGAGGGGTACACAGTGACGCTGGAAGAGTTGGCCTGACATTCACATGCGCGCGAGTGAAGCGAAGCAGCCAGCATTCAGGGGGTTGGTTTCTGCCACCTCGCTGACCTCCCGCTGGACCCCCCTGGACCCACCTCTCTCATACCCCGAGGTTCTCTGGGGAAGGAGTCTAGGAGAGTGGGTTTTGCGGGAGGGTATGAATAGAACTGTTGTGAGCAGACATGTTTGAGTACAGTTTTGAATGTGTACATTGGAGGTCTTGGGAATAAAGTCTGAGAAAAGGTGATCCTGAAAAGGCTGTGCTTGTGTTGGAGAGTGGGAGCTAACTGCTCAGGCAGTTAACATCATTCATTCATTCCTCTGAGAGCGCTTGAGTGTTTTTGTCCCAAGAGCTGGTCATATAGAAATGAATGAGGCTCAGGAAGAACGGCCCCCTGTAAGTGGCCCCTGGGCTGCCCTACAGGTTGTGGGCAAGGAGGCTGGCACACAAGACTAAGACAAGAATACACCACCAAAATGGATGCCACACAAGTGCCAGGTAGGAGTTACCTATGGCAGAGAGAAGGTAAGGCTTCAAAGGGGAGCAGAGTCAAGCTGGGCTAGACAGGATTTTATTGGGTAGCAGCTGTGTGCAGGATAGTTAGCAGGAACAGATGTTGGAGAGTAACAGGCAATACTCATCCTTGCATGCTCAGTGCCAAAGGTAGCCTGTGAATGTCCTATGAATGTTTTTAAAAACAGTAAATGGAAGGGAGATGATTGTCAGAGCCTAGAATACCCGTTGTTTTTTGAGGTAATTGGTAGTTTCCCTCAGCTGCCTAAATGTCGAATGCTTAAGCGGTAATTGCTGCAGGTCTCTGGTCCTATAAAGACAGTGTTGTACTTGATTTGTCAGGAGGGATCAGGCTCCACTCTCAGGACAGTGTGCTGGCACTGGCTCTCAGAGGGGTTGTTCTCAGCAGCACATGGCTGGGTGCCAGCTGGCAAGGCCCCACGGAGAATGCCTGAAGTCCAAAGAAGGTGCTGATGGCTGTGCAGCTGATGGCTGAGGACCAAAGAGGCTTTTTTGAATTTTTTCTCTTAATATGAAGCACATTAGTCATAGACCAAGCTTCAATATATCAAAACCTTTTCCAGTCTGACTTAGCAAAATCTGACCAGTTCTAGAGACCTTTTTAAGAACACATTCTCATAGTTAAATCAAAGGTTCTGGAGGGGAAATTCAAAGACTTGTGCCTCTGAATTGTTCCAATACATGTGCATTTAGCACACGTTATATAGATGACCTCTGTCCTCCAGGAATTTACTCCTGGAGTCAAGGGTGATAATCAACAAATGTTAGGAGAAAAAGTGAAACAGTAAGAAACATTTGGACTGCCACTCACTACTGTGATGTTTGAGTTCTCTAACGGGGGTCTCCAGAAGAGTGACAGGGGAGTTGGTGACAAGAGTGAAGCAGGAGCTTGCTTGGAATATAGGCCACTGAGGCTTAAGATGGATCAGGGTGAGGAATAGTAGTTATCAAAGGGCAGGGAGTGGCATCCAGATCCCTTAGGGCCTCATTGGTCATTGTAGGGACTCTGGCTTTTGCTCTAAGCCATTTAAGAATTCTGAGTCAAGGAGAGACAATGTATAACTTTAGTTTAGCAAGATCACTCTAGGTCCTGAGTAGACTGGACTGTCGGAAAGCAAGGGTAGGGCAGTAAGACAAATCAGATATGCAGTAATCCAGGTGAGGGATTTTATGGTTGGGGGGTAGTTATTGGAAGAAATATGAAGGGGTCAGATTTAATTTTCCTCATGGGTTGAATGTGGGGTGTAAGATACGAGAACCTAGGAATGACCTTTCTGAAGTCCTAGTGGAACTGGAGACCTGAGAGTAAGCTTGGTTGAGACTTTCTGGAATCTCCTTCCCCCAGTTTACTTCCCTTCATAGTGCATATCATGTGTATTTGTCCTGCTCCCCTCCTATGGAGAAGTTCCTTGACAACAGAAACTGTTTGCTGGCACAAGCCCAGCCTGCATATAACAGACCCTTTACATGAACAGACGAACAACCCCATTAAAAGAGATGGCAATGTGGATGTCAAAACAGAGAAAGATGGCTTTTTTCAAAACACAAATTCTTCCACTAACCTCATGTAAAGTATTCCATCGGGTATACAACCACACAAAAATGGCAGCCATTTCAAATGAGCTGGTTTAATTCCACGTGGTACAGGGTATTGGATAGAACAAAGACTGAAGAACACACTTTGACAGAATTCTGCGCTGGGTTTCCTCTGACCTCACAGCTAAGGTTGAAATGGCAGAGTGAGAAGAAATGAAGAGATGAGCCACTGCATGATTATTATTATTATTATTATTATTTTTACAAAAGTTTATTCTTAACTGTACAACAGGCTCCAAGACAATACTTCATTCTAGCTATAGGTGGCAAGAGATGTTATGACAGGGAATCCAGATGTTAAAACAAGAGTGGAATTAAGGATCGCCATTGCCCGAGGTAAAAGGAATAATTCACTTTTTGCCAGATTTCTTAATTCCACCTGTGGCTGCAAAAAAGAAAAAAGAAATGTTAGGGGAAAATACAGTTCTTATGGTAGAAGCCCCAGGGCCTGATTTGGATCCTAGTAAGGCTCAGTTCTCACACTGGGCATTCTTTCTGACACGAGCATGTACAGGGCTTTACCAATATTATTTCCTCTGGGTGAAGCAGAACGAGGATGAGGCAGGGGCACAAGTAATGGCTGTGCACTGGTCTGGAGCCACACTGTTGTGTACTTCACAGACTGGCTCATGTAGTCCTCACCCCCAGCAACCCATTTTACAGAAAATGAAGTCCTAGTATTAAGTGTTGTTCAAAGTTATAAACTGGTACGGGATGAAACCAGGATTCCAACCCAGGTAGTGTGACTTCCAAATTCATATTCTTAACTGTCACATCACACCACACTATGTTCTATACCAGGGGTGGGGAAACATTTTTTCTGTCAAGGGCCACACAAAATTAACTTGAAATTAACCTGCTCTATTTGGTCAATTAACTCACCCCTAATGTGATGGCTGGAACTGCTCTTTGGTGAGGCCTTGGCAGGGCCAGACCAAAGGATTTCATGGGCTGTATAAGGGCATTCCCCACCCGTTCTATACTATGATTGTGGGGTCTGGCTTACTCAATCTTTATTTTACCCTATTTACAAGTGACTATATATTTGGCACACAGTAGGTAATTTAAGAAATAGTTGTAAAATTAAGTATGCCTAATAAAGGAATGAAGAGCCTATTGTGACAAAGTAAACCTTAAAAATGTAGATGTTCAATGGAAACAAGCAGTATAGGATTTCACTAAGGATTGATCTCTCTAAGGGAAGGTGCAAAGTATCTCATCACATCATTCAAAAAGGGATCTCAATAGCTAGAATCTCAGTGCTGTGTGGATAAACAACAATGAACCAAACCCACTGGGATAGAAGTCTTGGGAAGCCCTAGAGGACACTCCTACCATCCCAACCTCTATTGCCCCCAGTGTGGTTCACAGTGACCCAAACAGGGCAAAGACAACTGTGGAGGAAATAATCACTAATTTGATTATTTTAAATAGCGCTTAAGCAGCACTGAAAATATTGGGGCTGCTAGGCTTGAAAAATATTTTGATCTGAATCTCTCTTACATAAAGGAAGAAAAGAAGAGGCAGAACGGTAGGGGATTAGGTTAAAAAAAGTATATAGAGCAATAGCGCGCCAAGGAGCCTGTACTTTATACGCTTATCGGGAAGCAAAAAAAGACTCAGGATGCAAAAGTACTTAAGACTTAACGAGTAGTAAGTCATGAAGCAGTGAAACTGTGGAGGCTATTTGGAAGCCCAACTGTTCGAATTTTGTGTAAAATACTGTATACAAATCTGTTTCCACTTCTGCCGCTTCCCTAAGGAAGGGAAGCCCAGCCAGCCTAGGAGGCGACCTCGTTTCCAGCCCCGGTCTGGCTCCCGCCCCTTCCTGCTGCGGCGAATCCAGGCCGGCCTGGGGCCGCCCGGCGTATCCTGGGAACTGAGACCTCGCCACTCACCAATGAGGCAGGAAACGGACCTGCTGGGCCCGGGTTGAGCGTGATGCTCTGGACATTTGTCCTGCTTGGGCTCCACCCGGCCCTCACTTACCCAGGGGGCCCTTCCCCGCGGCCTTCGCTTTTAGCTCCTCAAGCTTCTTCTGCTCCTCTTTCTGCCTCTGCTTGAATGCCTTATCTTCCTGGGGAGAAGCAGAGCGGGGTCACTCCCGGCGCGTTTCCCAGCCCCTCGGCGCCCGCCCACGTCCCCGCGCCGTCCTCACCTCGTCCATCTCCTTAGCCTGCTTCTTGGGCTGCTTCAGGGGCTTCTTCTTGCCACCTGTGGGCGACACGACCACGTTCGCCCGGGCCCCCACCGGGGTCGCGACCCACCCCGCCCCGCCATCCCCGCACACTCACCTTCGCGGCCGGACATGGCGCCTGCCGCCCCTTCCCCAGACCCTGCCACCGGAAGCTGAGCTCCCTGTCCCACCCCTGCGCTTATGCCGCCATGAGAGCCCGCTGATTGGCTCCTGGCCCGGAAGTTGCGCTCCTAGACCGGAAGTTGCGGCCTTCTGGAGGCGGGCGCTAAAGGCTCAACTGAGTGGCAGGTGCCCGGTTGGGTTTGCAGCTCGGGCGCTAGGCGGGCCAGGTACGGGGTGGTCCTGTCCCCAGCGGAGGTCCGGAAGCCAAGGGGGTGCTTAACCGGAAGGCTCCGGGCCTGGACCGTGCGTGGGGGGCGGGAGCACTGCAGGGAGAGAGAGGGGCATGTGCAAAGGCCTTCAAGCTTGGAGAGCACTGCGTGGCTGGGGGAGATGCAAGGGAGGTGGCAGAGTGGGGGTTAGATCACCTGGTCCTAGAGCTTTGGAGGCCACCCAGAGGAGTTTAGGTTTTATAATGTAGTCCAGGTTGCGACTTTTTGCAAACTGTTTATTCATACAATGTACTTTGTTGAGTATACTATATGCAGATATTATTCTAGGCCCTGAGGATGCGGCAGTGAACAAAACAGTGCCTACCTTGGCAGAGCTGACACCCTGGTGGGTGAGACAGACTATAAGCCAAGTAAATAAGTGAAGTACATATCCTAGGTCATGTGATATGTGCATGGAGAAAAATAAAGCAGAGAGAGTGGGTAAGGAATGCTGGGGTGGGGAGGTGGCAATGACATTTGAGCAGGTCTTGAAAAGGGGGAGGGGACAAGCAGTACAGATAGTGAAAGCTGATGTGAACACTCTGCAATGGAGATAGCCTGAGGTGTTCCAGTCATATCAAGAAGCCCATGCATGGTAATTAGGTGAAGGATGTGTTAGCTAACCTTATTGTATGTAGGTGTATCAAACCATAACATTGTATGCCTTAAACTTATACAATGGTGTATGTCAGTTATATCTCAATAAAGCTGGAGTTGGGGGGACGGTCCTTGTGACTGGAGCAGAGTGAGGAGAGACTAGTGGGAGATGAGGTCGGAGAAGAATGAGAGCCAGGAGGTGGATGCCCTGTGGACCATGGAAAGGACTTGCTTTTACCTTGAGAAAAATGAGGAACTGTTGCAGGGTTTGAGCAGAGAGAGATATGTTTTGAAAGGACCACAGCTCTGTTCACAGTAGACTGTACGGGCTAGAGTAGAAGCAGGGAGACATGTCAGGAGGCTCCTAGGATAATTCTGATTACCATGTGAAGAATAGCTGTGGGGGCAAGAGAGGAAGCCAAGACTTCATAGGAGGCTGTAGCTGTCATCTCTGCCAGGGATGGGTGTCCTTCTGGGGTCCAGGACTGGGCTGCTGGAAAAGGAAGAGCCAGGAAAGGAGGCTAAGAAGGTAGGAGGAAGCCAAGAGGGAGGAGTGATTTCAAAAAGAGGGAGTTGAAAGCTGCAGAGATAGTGGAGAAGGAATTTGAAAAGCTCCCGCTGGATCTGGCCAGGTGGATGTTTTGCAGGGCCTCCAGGGGAGCAACCTTGGTGGAATGGAATCAAGAGAGAAGGGGGCTGAGGACACCTTTCTGCCAACTGTTATTTAGAAGGAGGAGAGTGGTGCTGTGTTGGGCAGGGCTGCAAGGCAGCATGCTTTGCTCTGATGAGGGGTACACCTGCAGGACTATTGTGGGGTCACAGCTTGTGTGCAGCGGGCATTGGCATTGAGGCCTAGGTGGCTTGCTCGACCACTGGGGCCTGGATGACGTGCTCCCTTAGGCCTTATGACTGGGACTCAGGGGTTCAGATGCAGCACCAACTTGGAACCACTGTTACAGGGATGCCCCCTTCTTGGTTCTCAGCTCAGGCCCACTTTTGTCCAAGAGGTATGTCCCTACCCAACCAATGTAGTTTTCAAGAGGACTTGAGCTTCTCCAAGCATGTCATGGGGGGAGGCTGGGTGCTCTGACCCATCTCTGTTCCACCTACATCAGAAAGCCCCTTTCTTTTTTTTAATCCTCACCTGCGGATATTTTTCCCCTTACATTTTTAGAGATAGTGGAAGGGAGAGAGAGGGAGAGAGGAACATCAATGTGGAAGAGACACATCAAGTGGTTGCCTCCTGCACTTGCCCTGACAGGGGCCGAGCCTGCAACCAAGTACGTGCCCTTGGCTGGAATCAAACCCAGGGCCCTTCAGTCTGCGAGGAAGCCCCTTTTTTTTTATAACTGGAACACCTCCTATTTGTCTTCGTGTCTCCAGCTTCCTCTGCTTTTCTTTCTCTGGCCTGGTTGTTTGGCCACCAGGTGTCACTCTGACAGCCAGAGTCAGTAGTTGGGAGCTTGTGGGGTAGAGGGGTGGTTTGGCCAGAGGAGGGTGCTGCTGACCCAGGTTTGCCCACGGACACAGGTCACATGGCCCACTCTTGGGAAGAGGGGATAATGGGAGACTCCCTGTGCTGCTCATTCAAGTGGAGAAGTAGGCGTTGTTGGGCCCTGAACATCAAAGTGAGGCTGAAAGGGGAGAGGTTAAAGAAACCTACCCTGTTGAACAGTGACTAAGGTCGGAGAGGAGGGAGAAAACTTATGGAAAGTGAAAAAATGTGCCCTGGCCAGTGTGGCTCAGTGATCAGAGTGTCAGCCCACATACCAAAGAGTCTTGGGTTCGATTTCCGGTCAAGGGCACTTACCTGGGTTGCAGGTTCAATCTCGGGCCCCTGTTGGGGCATGTGAGGGAGGCAACCAATCGATGATGTCTCTCTCACATTGATGTTTCTCCCCCCTCCCCTTACCCCCCCTGAAGACAGTGGAGAAAACGTCCTTGGGTAAGGTTTAACCAAAAAAAAGTGAGAAATATTAGCCTGGGACTTGGAGGGCAGAAGGAGAAGGGCTGGTGGGAACCTAAGAAAAGTTGTCCTCTGTGAGGAGGGGCTTTTCTGTTGGGCAACCCATGATCTGTGTCCTCAAACATAAGCTCCACCCTGCTTCCCAGGAGCTGAGGCACCTCCAGAGAGTCTGGGAGGTTGGTTTTGATGGTCTCATACAGGAATCTGTCCCTGAAATCCCCTCGGTTCCACAGTTTCTTAGGGAGTTTGTGGGGCTTTGTCAGCATGGACACAACTCAGGTTTGAGAATTTTCTTTGACATTATCAGAAGCCTGGGCACCAGAATTCTTACCTGAGTCATAACAGAGACCTGGGGGTGTGGGTACAATGGGAGGGTCTATTTTGTGTGGCATCATGGAGGGAGGTGGGAGGCATGATTTCCTAAATACATATGTGTATGTACTTCCCTGGTGTGTCCCATGGTCCAAGTGCACTGGGGTAGGAAGCCTGACCACAGTGGCTGCAGCCTGCAAGTCCAGCAGAGTAGCACTAAGTTTGGACTTTTAATGACAGTCGGTTCAGAACTGACCCTAGACCTTGAAACCTGACATATGGCCACCATTTCTCAGCTGTGAGCTGATCTGTCTGGTGTCCCCCCACAGATCTCCTGATGACAGGGTGCAGCCCCATGTCTGCCATGCAGTACATTGTGGGTGTGCCCCCGGTACTAGTGCGGAGAGGCCTCCTTGGAAGGGACATCTTGATGACCAGGACTTTGTGCAGCCCAGGCCCCAGCCAGCCCAGAGAAAAAAGACCTGAAGAGGTGGCCCTTGGGCTGTACCACCGCCTCTCAGTGCTGGGAAGAGCCGTGGGGCACAGCATTCAACAGCGAGTGTCCTCCACAGCCAAGACATGGTGGGAGAGATATGAAGAGTTTGTCGGACTCAATGAGGTTCGAGAGGCCCAGGGAAACGTGACTGAGGTGAGAAGGGGAGCCCAGGTGATTCACCCTGCCCTCTGACGGGGGAAGTGTGGCCTGGAGGCTCCTGCCTAACAAGTCACCAGCCACATCCAAATGAACCTTTTCTTGAACAAATTCCACTAGCAGAGGGATTTGGCTGTTTCATGGCAACCTGGGGTTGATGCTACTGAAAACAAGTTGCTGTATACCAGTGAGTCTCTGGCCATTACCATCTTCCCGTTAAGGCCAGCAGACACTTCCTTCATTGACTGGGGTGATGAGAGTGGCTTGGAGGGTTCCTGCGTTCCAGTGTTAAAGCCCCATGTGGAGTGAGACCTCCCTTGTGAAGGTGGAGCTCCTGGGAAACATCGCACTGTGAGGAGGAAAGAGCTGCTTGTGTTGGTCAAGTCCTTTGTGGCGGGGGAAAGCATTCTGCCACTCATGTTCCTGCTCCTGCCTCAGCGCAGACCAGTGTAGCGTGGTGGAAACCTGGGCTTCAGCTGGAGGTTTTGGGGCACAGTGCTGTCACTCCCCTTGGAGGTCATGACCTTGGCTGAGCTGGGGCCTTGGGGTCTGTAAAATGGAAGCTGTAGCAATGCCTTTCATGGCACTGCTGTGAGGTGTAAATTAGGTAACACACAAAACATCTTAAGAACGTAGGTTTCTTTCTGTGGTTTGTGTCAGGCTACAGTTGGCTGGGTTGGCGCAGATTGTGTGCATTCTTAGCTGTTTTCCAGATTCTCAGGGCCGTGTTATTTCTGCTTCAATGGATAAATCCGGTGGTTCTGATGGGGTTGTCCTTTGAGGGTGACTGGGTGAGCCAGGATTATGTTTCTGAGGAAGTCATTCCACCTTTTGTGCTGACACCCCACTGACCTTTCTTAGCCAGTCTTGCTGGGAATGGGCTGAGCCTGTGTGGGTGTGGAGAGAGGGAGCAGAAGACTTCCGCTGTTCTCTCTGCAGGCAGAGAAAGTGTTCATGGTGGCTCGAGGGCTTGTCCGCGAGGCTCTGGAGGACTTGGAGGTGCAGCAGGCCAAGCTGAAGGAGGTGAGGGACCGCTTGGACCGCATCTCCAAAGAGGACATCCAGTACCTGGAACTGGCTACTCTGGAGCACAGGATGCTGCAGGTAGGCACCCCAGGAGGCAGCCCTTCCTCAGCTGGACAGGGATCCTAGCTTGGCAGGTCATGGAGGGGCAAGGTGGGAGCCCTGACTGGTCTGGTGGCCAGAGACCTGGTAAGGAGGGACTGGGCCCCAGGTTTCCTGAGCCCACCCACCCATTTTCTCCTGGAGTACTGGGGTCAGCAGTACAGGGCACTATGGTGTGGGCCCTAGGTTGCTAAGGAGGGAGCACCATGGAGGGGGCTGGCCCAGAGAGTGCCAGACACTTCCCTTCTGATAGATGTATTCTCTAGACATCAGTCCGTGTCTGATAAAAGCCAAGACTTTGGGTAAGAGGACAGTGCAGCCACTTCAACCACCCCTGGTTCCTTTGCTGCCCCCACACAACCAGGCTTATGCTGCCTTCATTCATTGGCATGTCATTGGGCCGGGCATGAGGCTGAGCCTCAGGGACATGATGGTGGGGCATCTGCCGGCAGCTGTAGCCGCAGGGCCACGTTGTTGCTCTTTAACACAGCTTCGCTTCTGCAGGAGGAGAAGAGGCTCCGCACAGCCTACCTGCGTGCTGAGGACTCCGAACGAGAGAAGTTCTCCCTCTTCTCTGCAGCTGTGCGGGAAAGTCATGAGAAGGAGCGCACGCGGGCCGAGAGGACCAAAAACTGGTCCCTCATTGGGTCAGTCCTGGGCGCCCTGATTGGTGTGGCTGGCTCCACCTATGTGAACCGTGTGCGGCTACAGGAGCTGAAGGCCTTACTCCTGGAGGCACAGAAGGGACCCGTGAGCCTCCAGGAGGCCATTCGAGAACAGGCATCCAGCTACTCCCTCCAGCACAGGGACCTCCATGACCTCATAGTGGACCTAAGGAGCCTGGTACAAGCCGAGCCGGGGCAGAGCTCTGGGTCTCAGGCAGGTACTTCCCCCCCGCAAGTCAGAGACACAGATGTCCTCTCAGCTGCCCTGAAAGAGCAGCTCAGCCATTCCAGGCAGGTCCATTCTTGTCTAGAGGGTTTACGAGAGCAGCTTGATGGCCTGGAGAAGACTTTCAGCCAAATGGCTGGGGTGGTTCAGCTTGCAAAGGCTGCAGACGGAGCTCTGCCTGGCTCCTCGCTGGAGCAAGGGAGCACGATCCTGGTGATGTCGGACATGGAGCAGAGGCTAGAAGCCCAGGTCAATAGGAACACCATCTACAGCACACTGGTCACCTGTGTGACAATTGTGGCCACAATGCCTATGCTCTACATGCTGTTCAGGGCCAGCTAGCCCCTGGCCCCTACTCCAAGCAGTGAAATAAGCCTTAGGAGGCGCACACAACCTCAGCCTGAGTCTGAGTACCGTCTGTGTGGCTCACCAGCCGGCACACTTTCCTTTGCAAGCAGTGCTCATTTATATTAATCATGAAAACTTTGTACTAATGTATCATTAAAATGTCTTTGAGTTTGTGTTATTTAAAGTAATTTATACCGGACTGAGTTTTTTATCCGTGGAAAATTGAGGCTCCAGACTCAAGGGTTTGTTCTCCCCCTTCATACCTCTCTTCTCCTTGGTTCGGGACTGTTTTGCATGCATTTATTCTTGAGGTCTGGATTTTCATTTTGGGTTTGCTGGCCTACCCTCTGCTTGCCCAACCCTTCTGTGTCAGGTGGCCTGGGCATTCCAGTGAATGGAACCTACCCTACTACTCACCCATTGGTAACCATGGTTACTGCCCCTCTCTGGATCAATTTCTTTTTAGTGCTGGAGCCATAATCAGAGGGGAGCAGGAAAGAGGGATTGGGGGAAGAGTTGGTAAATACTGCTGGAGACATAATTACAGGGATTGGTGGCCAATCTAGGTCCCTGGTGCAGAGTGCTTTGGGCAGCACTGGTGTGCCACCAGGGCTGGGTGTCCTCCCACAGAGCCCAGGGATGGCCTTTACAGGCATGAGCAGAACTCAGCCTGCCAGCAGTGCAAACTGAGAGGCAGTGATAGGGAGGGGCCTCCCAGAGGCGGGAGGTGCAGTGGGAGGCATGGAGGCTGACTGTCCTGAGAACCTCTGACCTGTTCTTTTTCAGAGGGGAAAGGCAACCTTTGACCTCCCAGGCTAAATGGCCACAGGTGGCCTTGTGTGTCCTTGAGTAAACAAGAGCAGTGGGGAGGCACACTGTACTCCCGTTGGAGTATAGGAGGACTTGCACATCTGGAGAACCTCCTTTCAGAGCACACAGAGGTGGTACCCAGGGTCTGCGGGTAGGTGCTTCTGTGGACTTGCCAAGCAGAGGCCTGTGGAGCCAGAAGTGTTTCCCATGAGGTGCCCTCCCTTCTTCAACCCTGTGCTCAGGCCCATGACCCCACGGGTACTAAGAACCTCTGAGTGCCTGGTCCCTTGGTCATTTGGTCACTTCATCCCTTGCAATGTTTTCTTTGCAATGGTTCCCCAGGATGGCATAGGATGAAATGACTTCTGCACTTGGGATGTTCACACACTTGATGGGGTAGAAGGTGCCATATCTGTATACAAATGAGGGCTACTGTGGGGGTTTGGAAGTCCCAGGTCCCCCTTTGGGTGAGGGTGTGCACTTGAGGAGCGAATGGATTTAGGGAGGAGAGGATTATAGGCACATGGTAAGGGCGCCCCACAAGCTACACAGGCCATGATAGGTGAGGAACTCAGGACAGATTGACCTGGCTGAGGTGGTGATGGCTGTGGGGGAGTGTGGAATATAAGGTAAGAGTGAGGTGGAGGAGCTGGGGTGCCAGGTTGACAGGCACCTGGTCTTTGATGTTGGAGGCCAGGGATGAGGGAACTGGGGAGGAGGTGCCATGCAGGTATAGATCAGGTGCTGGAAGGGGGTAGAGGAAAGGGAGTGACCTGAGGAGTTGGGTAGGGAGAATTTGGAAGGCAGAGTTGGGTAGATTAGAGTGGAGGCAGACTTGATGGGGGTTGGCAGGTAGGAAGAGGGTGTCGGTGGCTGGTGTTGTTAACTCTCTGGGTAGCAGTCAGTGTGGATGACCTGGACTTTCTGGTTGAGGCTCCCCCTGACTTGTGGAGGCCCTGGGGGCTTCCAGGATGATGTGTGTGTATTGACAAATTTTGCCTCCAAGGAGGCCATCCCAATGGCCTTGAGCCAGTCTTCCAAAAGTTGTAACAGGATGGGCCAGGTCCTCGCTGGAGTTTGCAATGGGCCGGCCAGGGTGAGAAGGGCCCAGCAGGGGGCACAAATGGGCCTCTGGAGAGAGAACCCTTCTGCCCAGCGGTTCCTCCCTCGGAAAGTCCAGGTATTTGCTAGCGAGGGAGTTTAGACTTGCCGAAAGCTTCTCAGCTTGGGGTGTGTCCAGGTACAGACCCGGGATATAAAGAAGGAAATGCGCCCTTGCTTGTGTACTTTTGCAGCCGACGTGCCCTCCTTTCAAAGCCGGGCTAGGTGTGGTGTCACCTCCACTTGCCGGTGCGTGTGTGTGGTGGGTGGCGGGGGTCAGGTTACTTGGCTTAGCGATGGCGTAAACCCAGCCCCAGCCCCAATGCCTGCGCTCTTCCCGCACAGCCCGAGGTGGGGGCCGGAAGGAGGGGTTGCCTTGTGGGGAGTCCTGGGCGGTGGGCAGGACCGGGCGAGGTGGGAGAGACGAGGCGCCCGGAGTCCAGGTAAACAGTTGGAGGAGGCCGACCCCGGAGCCCGGTACTGGAAGTGGAGGCGGAGGCTGGGGACGCCGCGGCGCGGAGGCGGTGGCTAGCGAGCGGGCGGAGCAGGTGAG